CGCCTCCACTCCTGAAGTTGGCTCGTCTGATGACGTCTCCGCCTCCACTCCTGAAGTTGGCTCGTCTGATGACGTCGCCGCCTCCACTCCTGAAGTTGGCTCGTCTGATGACGTCGCCGCCTCCACTCCTGAAGTTGGCTCGTCCGATGACGTCGCCGCCTCCACTCCTGAAGTCGGCTCGTCCGATGACGTCGCCGCCTCCACTCCTGAAGTCGGCTCGTCCGATGACGTCGCCGCCTCCACTCCTGAAGTCGGCTCGTCCGATGACGTCGCCGCCTCCACTCCTGAAGTCGGCTCGTCCGATGACGTCGCGTCTGGTCTGACGTCTCCTCCGTGTCCGGTTCTGATGGTGACTCTGAAGGTCGCTCCGGTCCAGCCTGCAGGGACTTTGTCGCCGGTCCTGCCTGTGTCCCCGGCTCAGCCTGCAGGGCTCCTCTACCGCAGGCGCCGCCCTCCCAGGGCCCGTCGCCTCCTCTTCTGCCCCAGGCGCAGGCCCCCAAGGGTCTGTCCCCATCTCCTCATCTGCCCCTGGCACAGGCCTCCAAGGGCCTGTCCTCGCCTCCTCATCTGCCCCAGGCGCCAGCCTCCAAGGGACTGTCGCCTCCTCATCTGCCCCAGACGCAGGCCCCCTAGGGTTCGTCCTCGTCTCCTCATCTGCCCCAGGCGCCGGCCTCCAAGGGCCCGTCGCCTCCTCATCTGCCCCAGGCGCCGGCCTCCAAGGGCCCGTTGCCTCCTCATCTGCAGCAGGCGCCGACCTCCAAGGGCCCGTCGCCTCCTCATCTGCAGCAGGCGCAGGCCTCCTGACTCTGCTGATCCCTGCCGCCTCTCCTGTGGTCCCTCGGTTCCTCTGGGCCCTCCCTCCGGGTCCCCCTCCTCCCGCCCTGCTCCTTGTTCCTGTGGGCGTCTGGGATCCGCCCTTTGAGGGGGGGGGGGGGGGTACTGTCACGCCCTGTCCTGTCTACTCTTAGGTTTTGTCTGTTCTCCGTTAATTGCTCCCACCTGCCTCTTGTTTCCCAATCACCATAGCTCCCGCTCCTCTTGTATTTAAACCCCTTCTGTTCTGTGTTCCCTGTCGTGTCATTGTTTCAGTGTCCAGCGTGTGTTTCTAATAAACCTTTGTGAAACAGACTCACCTGTTCGCCTTGTTCCTCCCCGCGTTTGGATCCTCATCTGATGACCGCTCCACTCACCAGGCACGCACGTTCGTGACACTGGCATTGTGAGGTGCTGGGATGCACAGATGTACCATGCACAGTCTAGCTTGTGGTCTAAAGGATTTGAATCAAAGGGATTGGCCCTGTGAACCAAAGACGAGTGTTCCAACTCAGTAGACATGCAGATATATAGCTGATGCCAGATTATATTTATGTCAGCCGTTGCATTCCAAACTCGTAGAATTTCTAGCTATCTACAGTAGATGCAACTATTTTGAGGTCATAAATGCTGCATGATGCTCTCATTCTGTGGTGTAGTGGAACGATGAGGACTCTGCAATCGTGTGTTCAGATCTGTGACTGAGTCTGGAGTTAGGAGGGCAAAAGGAAAAGGTCTGGCATGGATAAGTGAAACGGTGGATTTAGGCCTCAATCTCTGAGGAGACTTCCAGACAAAAAGGGCTAAGCAGAGTGAATCTGTGCCACCAAGTCTTTACTCTGCATGTGTTTTCATCATGCAGTGCAAAGGGAATCAAAACACCATGTACTCATGACTCTAGCTGCTTGGGAAACATTCCCACACCGACTTTGGAATCAAGTTCGGCAAAAACAGATGATGAAAACCAAAGTGTGGAGCCTTCATTCCACAGACACCGCCATTCTGTTTGTAAATTAGGGGGAAGCTACAATTTTGTCTCCATCTCTGCAATCTGTGGTTCCACGAAACGCTGCCTTCTCAAAGGAAGGAGAACTGTTAACGTACATTTGAACTTAATTGAGCAAACTGAAACTTAACAAATCCAGACTTTCCATCCTATTTCCATGAGCTTAATAGCAAAGATGATTGAATAATGAAAACTCATCTTATTTATATTTTTCTAAACTACGTAGCTTTAGCTCAGCATCGCAGTAGGTGCTGCCTTTTTGTCTTTATCTGCTTCTGCTGTAACAATATAGCAAATAAAATCTGCTAGTTTCACATATTTCCTTTGCAAGCGCTGCATTTCACCTCTCATGTTGGGACACTGAGTGCACAGTGACAGCTAAATGGATTGCTCTCATAATGACTGCATTATGAACAAGCAGCCTGTGATTGAAAGCTGTATTTCATGCTCAGCAGACTTGTAAACGAAGGCATGTGAGTAGTGAACAGAAGAAGCTGTTGCAAGTGAATTGAGAGGCAGTGATGCAATTTCATGAATAAGTGTATGCAGGGTAATATCTCTATTTGCATACAATTTTTAGTCTTTTATTTCTACCTAAATACAATCAGGAAAAGGCTTGCATTTGTTTCTGTTCTTGAAGATATTTACATCTAAGGTTGAATACTAATTTTCATGCTTGCATTTAAAAATGAACTTTAAATATGATTTTATTATCCATCCATCCATCCATCCATTTTCATCCGCTTATCCGGAGTCGGGTCGTGGGGGCAGTAGCCTAAATCGAGAGGCTCAGACCTCCCTCTCCCCAGCCACTTGGGCCAGCTCCTCCCGGGCGAATCCCAAGGCGTTCCGGGGCCAGGTGAGAGACATAGTCCCTCCAACGTGTCCTGGGTCTACCATTAGGTCTCCTCCCGGTTGGACGTGCCCGGAAAACCTCACCAGGGAGGTGTCCAGGAGACATCCTGACCAGATGCGTGAGCCACCTCAACTGGCTCCTCTCGATGTGGAGGAGCAGCGGGTCTACTCTGAGCCCCTCCCGGATGACAGAGCGTCTCACCCTATCTCTAAGGGAGAGCCCAGCCACTCTGCATAGAAAACTCATCTCGGCCGCTTGTATTCATGATCTTGTTCTTTCGGTCACTACCCAAAGCTCATGACCATAGGTGAGGGTAGGAACGTAGATCGACTGGTAAATCGAGAGCTCCACCTTCTGACTCAGCTCTCTCTTCACCACGACAGACCGGTACAACGCCCCTCATCACTGCAGACGCAGCACCAATCCGCCTGCCAATCTCACGCTCCAGTTTTCCCTCACTTGTGAACAAGACCCTGAGATACGTAAACTCCTCCATGTGATTTTATTATTATGATTTAAAAATCCACTGCAACATTAAAGGTTGAATATGGAACATGAACACCAAAGCAACATCTGGTGTGTTGAGGTTGTAGTTGCAACCTTGTAGAACAAGGTTTCCAGCCTTCGGAATACCAGGTTCGCTACCGAAACGTGAATTTTTTTTATATGGTTGCATCTTTTGTATGCTTCACCTAAACTCACTCTGGTTTTAGATCTTTTATGGTCGCTTCTCTTCTGAGAAGGTTAACGACATCTTCTGGGCTCAGAAGCAGCTGCTTGACTTGCCGAGTTTGCCATTTTCCACAGAGCCAGCCTCGCTGTTTGGCAACCTTGCAATGGTGCCTTCTATTGTCTGGTAGATAAAAACATAAACCCAGTGTTGTGCCCATCAAAATAAATATTATTTTTTAATTAACATATAGCTTTTAAAGGAAATACTGTCATGCACACCTCTAAATGCCCTGTGGAGATACTGTTTAAAGGGGAACTAGGCAGTTTGAGCTTGCTTTTACCACCCCCTAGTGTCCATTAGTATAACCGAAAGCAAAACGTTTCTCCTAGTTGTGCGCTCATCTTTTCAACATCTAATCTAACAGCTGAGAAGTCTCCCAGCCTTCCATAGTGTCTACAGAAGCTGTTCATCTCTAAAGTAAGCAAACCGCTGTGTTCACCAGACTGCGTGCAGGTAAGTCCCAACAGAGCAGCCTGCCAGTCAGAAGTTGCAAGTGGAATATTCTTGCCATAGGGGTGAGATATGGAGCTGGGTGGCATCTCGTTAACCCTGTAAAGCAGGGGTGGGCAATCCTGGTCCTCGAGAGCTGCTATTTAGCAGGCTTTAGTTATTAACCTGCTCCAACACACCTGATTCCTGGATGAATCACCTGTTCAGCAGCTCATCAAGCTCCACAGCAGCCTGTTAGAAGAAGAAGAAGAAGAAGAAGAAGAAGAAGAAGAAAATGATTTCAAAAATATTAAAAAGTTGCAAAGCAACCCTTTGAAAATATGGCTTTCTATCACATTTTTCCATGTTCAACCTTGAGGAAACACCTGGTGCTAATTTCCCACAGTCTTACAGACACGTCCAGCTTTCTGCAGACTTGCTGTGACATGGTCCTCACAAATGTGCAGACTAACAGTTAAAAAGCAGTCAGCGCTGGCTGTGTGAAAGGGCCGGTACGGTATCTAACATAAACCACCACGGTGAGGAATGCGTCTGGGCACACTTCACAGGAAACACACATGTGCTGACACCCAGAGTACCAGAGAGGAGTACGTTTCATTTTTTCCCGTGGTGCTGGTGTTTAATCCACACACAAACGCACTCAATCTTTGTTATTTTTGCCTTCGGCTAACAAAAGAAAAAATGGATGAGAAACAGTTGCAGCAGGTTATAAAGAAACAAAAAGTAACAGAGAGAAAGATTGTAGAAACCCAGAGTGGGAATAACTCTGGTTTGGAAGGAGAACAAAACCCTTATTACTTCATCAGGCCCCTTTCCCATCTTGTTTTGGCTTTACTCTGTCTGACAGTTTTCTGAGTCCAACTCTTCGCACAGTGAGATCACGTGCTGCCACCCCATCCGCACTGTGGTTTCTAACACCTGCGGACTGTGGCTCAAACCATATTTTAGTCCTTTTCTCTGCTGTTTATGTAATCCGATTATGTTTAATATGTCTTTTCTTTATTTTTTATCACTAGTGTCTTTATACCTCCCTGTCTCTGCCAGTTGTGGTGGATCTTTCTTTTCCATGTTGAGAATGTGCGACCTGTCAGATTAATGTTTCAGAATGTGTTGTACTGACTAAACCTTTTTGTGTCACTCAGGGTTCCATCGCAATGAGGATATGAAGGCAATTGATGTTCTTCCCATCCTCAAGGAGAAGGTTGCCTTTCTCTCAGGTCAGTTACTGTGTTTGGTATTGCCAACGCACGGATTTAAACTATCACTCACTTTAATATCAGGAAAAAGATTTTACAACAATCACAGTGGAGTTGCTCCTCATCGAGTAATGTGTAATTATTGTCATTATTATATAGGATAGTTTTCTGGTTTGATGACTTCACATTGTGAAACTCCAAAATAATTTCAGCTGAAAATTATGTTAAAATAAGGTTTAAAGTTACATTAATGGAGGCTTGCTCTTTTGGTTCAAACTACTTCAAAATTCTTTAAGTCATCATACATGAATACAATTGTTCTTCCTATTATTGTTTGGTTTCTGATTATTTCCTCAAAGCAATTTAAGACTTGTGAACTATAATTACTCCAAGTCACTTTTAAGCTCAAGCTTCCTATTCAGCAGGCTGCAGCTAAGTTGGGTCAGTTAGAAAAACAGTCTTCTGTGATTCGCTCATCTTGCTGATCCAATCTTTCACAACTGTAGCCGACTTAGCAGCAGCTAGTTGTTTAAGACAGTTAGCATGTGTAGCTACGACTAAATGTGTCAAAGCATAGAGAGCCTAAGCCACGCCCATCTACTTCCAGACAATGGGTTCCCGGAAGAACAAAAGATATGAATGCAAGTCAACGAGGCTAAAAGCACAATTTTCTAATTCAGCTTGTTAAATGCCATGGATTTCACATATGATGTCTGTGAATTTTAAAGATGTATTTTGATACCAAGAAAGCGCTTATTTTTAGGGGGGGGCACTACAAATGCGCATCACCAAAGTGCCGTCATTGAAACAGACACAGAGAAAAAAAAGGGGAAAATGGCTGTAAATTCAGCGAACTTCAAATCCTTTCTTCATTTAGGAAGAAAGAACCACCATAAATTTGGTCGCGTGGTAAGTAGCAGCTACGCTAGGGGACAGGAGATTCTGTGGTGACGTCATTTATGCAACATACTGATGTCTGATTTGTAGTCATGCTAATTAAGAACTTTTACAAGCTGATAAATCTCAAAGTACGTGACTGGTGTGGTCAATACACACTTCATTACTTTTTATTTAAATTGCAGTACAACATGTGTGCGATCCAAGGTCTAAGGCAACGTATATTAGAAAATAGCTCTTTTTGCCCCGTTGACTTGCATTCATGTTTTTTGTTTTTCCGGGAATCCGTGAGTCAACCAGAGAGGGAGGAGACTTAGGCTCCTTAATTCCAAAAACACAAAGCTAACTGCAACCGGAGCTACAGTATAAGTGGTATGTTCAAGACCAGGTTCACTGAGAAACTATTTTTTACTTATCATTTTTGGAACTGATCAGTAACTCTGAATTTCCCATATAGGCTGAACATGAAAATAGTCTCCCACACCGATCTCCTGGCTTCTGATAAAAAAAAGATTTGAAAAGGCTGACAGATCTACGCTCCGCTGTCACATTAATATGGCTCGCGATGGGGAAGGCATAGATGGCCTCGACTAGTAGAAGCTAACCATTAGAATTAGCAACTCCTCAACACAGCAGAACTCCTTTAGGTTTGTGTTATTTTATTTATTTATTTAAACAAAAGCTTGGTTGGGTCAGTTTTAAATTGTTTTATGCTCTTTTGTCATCATCAGTCAAAATTGACCCTTGTGTTTTAGTTTCACTCCTCTTGGCCATGACTAACCCCTGGCACATTAACAAATGACAGGAAACTGAACGTCATTTCACGACACGGCCCTCAGTTCTGATTAGACTCCATTTTTATTGTTGGAGTTTATTTGTTTTTCACTTCAGCAGCAGCAAGCCCAGTTCAAAGATGCAGTTCACTCATTTAATCAATATATGTGCAGTGGTCTTTAGTAGAAATGAATCTCTTGTAAGCCGTACTCTCAGGAAATAAAGCTCTGGTGCACCAGTTTCAGGAACTAGAGGTGAGCCACATAAGAGCTGAGCTTCAGGCAGCAAGTCTAATGTCCTGATATTTGGACATCTTGAATTAGCTAACAACAACAAAACTCTACAACTGACTTTGTTGGCTCTGCAACGCTGATGTTTTATCACCCCGAATGACACAAGCCAGAAGGAGTTCTGCTGTGTGGTGGAGTTGCTAACGCTAACACTTAGCTTCTACTAGTCAAGATGTTCTCTGCTGTTTCCTGGACGCTAAACCAACAACGGCCTTTCCCCGTTGTGAGCTGAGATGGGTGAGTCCATGAATGTTAAGTGACAGTGTGACGTAGATCTGTCGGGCTTTTCTGATCCTAGAGTCTCACGTCTATTTTATATCAGAAGCTAATGCAGGAGATAGGTGTAGGAGACTATTTTCATGTTCAGCCTGCATGAAACATTCAGAGTGACCGAAAATTATTAGGAATAATAATTTAAAAATGCTTTTTTCAGCGAACCACTTTTCAGTAATCCTTTTAAACATTTCATTAGCATTAGCATTTCTACAAAGGAGGTGAAATATTTTACTCATTTCCAAGAGTTAAGGTCCCTCCTTAAAACTTGGAAACAGAAATTTCCCAGAATATTTAACAAGCTGCTACTCTTGACTTTTCAAAAGTTTACAGTTCTTACTAGTATTTTCATCTTTTCATTTTCACTGAAAGGTGGCAGAGACAGAAGGGGAGGTCCAATCCTGACTTTTCCAGCACGGAGCAATCATGACAGAATACGACCCGATGATCTGCGCCGACTTGTAGCATACATGGCTACTATCCCAAGGTGAGGAGCAAACATACAGATGCATCCTGGCTCTGTCACAGGCTGAATGTAGATGATTGTGCAAACTATGGCAACATACATTAAAACATTGTTATTATTTATAAAATCATCTTTTACATTTGATGTTCCCTATTCCTTCTTGCAGTTTGATGCACCGCAAACATCACTTTGCGTTTCTGTGGTAGACTCGCCCAGCTTGCTTGAGTTAAGAAAACAAAACACTGAAAGAAAACCCGGGGCTAGAAAGAGCAGGAATGGTTTGATATTTGTGAGCCCATTACCTCTGTTCTCTTTGTAAGTTTGTCAATTCCTCTAGCCCTCTAGAAAAGAACCCCTTTTCAATCCTGTTAACCTGCTTCAGCTGTTTTTAATGTAGACTTAAAATAACTAATTTATCTATTGAGTTGTAAGTACAAAAATAAAAATAAATGTATATACACACATATATATATATGCTTCCCTGATTGATGGGGTTTTGCTTAGCTTTGAATCTTAAAACTTACAACATATAGCCATGGGATCTTTGCCCTGAGGGCACCTTTAATACGTCGCTGCAGGCAGTTCTTGGACTCACTTGTGATTAGCTTCAAGGGTAGTTTGCAATCATCTGTTCTACAGCCCCTGATCCCTCCAGTGCTGCTCTTCCTAGCTGGCTTGGTGCTTTTAAGTTATTCTTACATTAAATTCCCAAGACTTGTCCCGAGGTGAGAGGAAATTCGGATCAGTTCCAGAAAAAATGGGTTCAGGTTCACCTTCAAATTCAGAAAAATCGGGTGTGTTCAGCTAAGGCAGTAGTAACTTATAATTAGATGACTTACTGTATCATTTAAATGCAAAGTGTCAATTTTTTTTTACTTTTAACTGTCATACCCAAAAGAAATGTATTAAAATTAATTTGCATTATTTACAAATCCCTATTAAGGTTCAGAGCTGTGAAAAAGTATGCAATCCTTACAGAGTTGTTGTATTAGCTGGTTTTGTAAATCAAAGTAAATCAAAAATGCAGTTTTCAAATAATGATTTAATGTAATAATTAGGGCTGAATGATTTATGAAAACACATCATTGTGATTTTTTATAGCAGAAATTGCTATTTCAATTAAATTAAGAAGAAACAATATTTTTTATAGCATCTCTCAAGATACAAATCACAAGGCGCTTTACAAGAACAAAATAAATAAATAAAAAACATAAATAAGTGAATGAGAAAAATTTCAATTTGTGGTTAAAAAGTGTGAGGAAAAGGAAAGAGAAAATGAATAAGAAGGAGAAAATTAAGAATATTCTTTAAATCAACGTTCAGTACCTTATGCACAATGTAGTATTTACAAACTTGACAGGAGATGAAATGACATACCATCTAAAAGTAAAAGCTAATGCTTTAATAAGCAAGGAGGAAGATCGAAGGTAAGACTTGCTTCTGAATATATGTGTTACGTAACAAAAAACATGCACACAGAGTTTCTCCAGCACTGTTTTACCACAGCGCGCTGCCTGAATCACAAAGCCCCACTCTAACACCAAACTCTTTCACACTTTACATGCTAACTTTGAATTACTGTAACTCTGCAATATTTTGTTCCATCTTTAAGAGAATTTGTGCTTTCAAGTTCCGTTACTCCTGTTTCACACTGGAAGCATCAGCAGCGAGGGACCACACTGCTTCAAATAGAATCACTTATAGTCTGTGGAGTGTAGCTAGACAGGAAATCACACACGGTTTCAGTGTAAAACCCTGGTAATTTTCAAATTAAAAGTACTGCAGTGATGCAATTTAATATACTGTATATGAAGCTTACTGTACGAGTGACCTAACGGCTTAATTACTCACAGCATTGTTCCAGAAGTGCAGCTGTGTGTTTTCCAAGGCCTTAACCCTTCTGTTGTGTTAGGGTCTAAATTGACCCGTTTAAATGTATTGTAAGACATCTGTTAACATTTAGTAGCTGACTGATGTAGTTGTGAGATTCAGTGTTTAGAAAACATCTAGTGAGACTCTAGTATGTGTAGTCAATGTTTAGTTTATAGTATTATATAGGGTATGTTAACTATTTACTTACCCTTTACCAATGGGGTTGTGTACTGTTTTACATCATGAAAGGACTGGTTTGTAAATGATGGAGAGCAGAGTTTATAAATGATTAATCAATGACTTATAGATCATGAAACATCATGAATAAAAAGTGTGACACAGTAGCTTCTTCATCATGAATAAAGCCTTAGTAGTGGTGCTTGTAAGCCGTTAAGTAATTATGGTCATGTTTTTGTAGATGCTTTACAAATGATTAAATAACCATTAATCAATGCTTTACTGATGATTAATTAATGCTTAATAGTGTGCACTTATTATAAAGTGTTACACGTTTAACTGTGTAAAAAGTACACTTTCCTTTTTTGTTCTGGAATGAGGCTTCATCTAATCCTCAGACACACCTATTTAAATGCAGCAAAATCAATTTTCACAATTTTAGTAAATTCTAAAGGTCTCAAAAAAAAAAAAGTTACATCTGTGGTGTTACGGGTCCAAATTGACCCGGCAGAGAAAACTGGCTGTTGTATGCATCACTTAACCCTCTCAGGCTCAAAATAAGTTTTGATAAAAGGACGAACAACTAAGTCCTTCAGGGGTACTTCTGAGTTAAAAAATGCTCATGAACTACGTATGTGGAGTAACCAGGTAGGTAGGTTTTAATTAGGGCTGCAACAACGAAAAATTCGATGAAAATCGATTACTAAAAGCGTTGGCAACGAATTGCGTCATCGATTCGTTGTGTCGCACAACTCTTCCAAAATCGCCCCCCCCGCCCTTCCCACCCGCCGTTGCGCGCAGACCAGAGCAAGTCAGATCAGCGCGAGGGAGAGCCGCAGATCAGCGCGAGGGAGAGCCGCAGATCAGCGCGAGAGAGAGCCGCAGATCAGCGCGAGAGAGAGCCTGCAGACTTGCGCTGCTGCGAACTGGTTCCGCATTGTTGCGCAGCGATCCAGGCAGCTGCTTCCACCAGCGCACGGTCCATTCTCAAAGTGGCAAAACCAAAAAACTATAATTAGCACACGATCGTTCTTGTCTGCACATGTTCTCTATTTTCTGTCTTATTTGTGCCTGAAGCGCGCTACTGCGGAGCTCATCACCTGTGCTGTGGTGATGAGCTCCGCACGCAGCATCGAAAACGCGCTCTGCGCTTTGCGGTCAGGAGATCTCTTTGATCTGCTCAAAAGTAACTGATGAGGTGAAAAGGTAAGAATCCAGGCAACAGATTTTCTGGAGAATTATGAGGAGATGCAGGAAGATGAGAGACAGACAGGACAGGAAAATAGTTAAATAAAAACAAGAAAACACAGTAAAATGTAGGTAGATTTATCTCCACGACACGTTTTTACCAGTAAAAAACAATAAGTTATACACATGTCATATTTATACATCTGATACATTTCAGATCACCTTCAAAACTCAGTCACACCCAGGGCCGTTTCAAGACATTTTGGGGGCCAAGGCAAAATGCCCCCCCCCCCCCCCCCCCCCCCCCATAACTGGGCTCCCCAGAAGCCTCTGTGTAATTCATACCCTCTCCAGGAGTGTTAGTTATACAGTGTCTATAAAATCCCCTCAGACATTACTTACATGTTCTAATATTATCAGATGAAAAACTAAATTATCAGACATGCTGTCTCATCTGCTTCTTTTCTAAACTTGCAAAAAGTAACAAAACAATTTGAAAGCCACTATTTGTGGATTCTCTGAAAGTTTCCATGGAGTGTGGGACAACTTATTTTTTCATTGACCCTATCGTCTAATCTCACAGCTGAAACAAGCATCCTTAATAATCTGTGCACAGGAAGCTTACCAATGCTGTAGTAAAACAAAAGGTATAATAATTTATTATTAATAAAACCTTGTTGCAGCACTAAAGCATAAAAATTAGATTTTGCATTAAATATGCAAAATATTTACATATGAATTGTTTTAGAGCCCTTTTACTGGTAGAATCTGATATTAATTTAGTTCTTACAAAAAATGGGTCCCAACATGGTTTGTGTGGCGTTGCCATAGTGTGACGTCATAGGCACAGATCCCCTGTCCTCTTGTTTGGAAATGGAAATATGATCACCCTACATTAAACAACCTGTCCACCCGGGGGTTTGCGCTGCACAGAGACGCTTCGCTGCCTACGACTTTGAACGTCAGTTGAGAGTCAGTCTCATGCAGACTGACCAATGAAGAGAGGGCCTCAAGTTAAGACCCTCTCCTCACTGGTCAGTCCACACGAGGTGGGTCAAAGGTTACTCTGGGCGGGTTACGTGTTGTCAGGCATTCAAGTATTGAGTATATTTACTGCATATTACAGTAAAATATTCTGTATGTGACCACATTATGGTGATCCTTGGGTCGTGATGATGGAGCCCTTGAATATTGTTGCCCAGGGTACAAGAAAGTGTTAATCTGGCCCTGGTTCCGCCGTCACATTCCCGCAGAAACTGGTTGATCACACCGGGGCCAGACTACTAGCATGTGGTTTTACAACCACAATGTCCTCGGAAGCAAAAACGCTTTTAAAAGGGAGGGAGGAGTCCTAACTGTTGCTGCAGGCGTGTTGTGTGAGAGTGCAGTTATATACTGGTTAATATATTTTTGGGTTCAGTTGCTTTCATGTGGCCTAATGTGAGTCTATTTGGGATCATTGGAATGATCAGCAGCATTTCTTGATGTGACTTTATGGCAGTTGCCCAGGGCATCATCACAAGGACGATGGAATTCATTTACTTTTGTTTTATTTGGTATTTTTTCAGTCATTTTTGGAAATAGTGATCTATTTTGATTAATTCACAGCCTATGTTTAATTACATTTAAAATAAATGTCAACAGATGAGATCAAACAAAACAGATGAGAATTGCCCTTAAGCTGTTTAACTTGGACCAAGCATTTTAGGTCACAGATAGATGTAGCTTAGGGTCTCTGTCTATACACCTTATAAGACAATTTAGGTGATGGCATGTTGTTTTTCTGCTATTGAACTGTTTTCTAATAATGTTGTGTTAAATAAAGTGAAGGAAGGAGAGAAATAACGTTTCCCTAGCAGTTTTTAAAAATTTCCCCATGTAATCCGATTAATCGATTAATCGTGTCGAGACCCCATCCGATTAATCGATTATCCAAATAATCTTTTGTTGCAGCCCTAGTTTTAATGATGCAAATCTGCAACTCCTGCCTCCAGAGGGTTAATCAGTGAGTCGTGGTGGATGGCTGCTTACACTGAGCCAGGATCCTCTGGAGGTTTCTTCCTGTTAAAAGGGAGTTTTCCTCTCCACTGTCGCTGCATGCTTGCTTAGTTTGAGGATTGCTGTAAAGTCACTGATACTAGTCAGTGACTCGATGCAATTTGCTGGGTTCCTTTTTTAGGAAACTTTTTTCTGATTGGCTTAATGAACTGACCTGTATTGGAATGTTTATTATGTGAAGTGCCTTGAGATGACTCTTGCCGTGATTTGGTGCTTTATAAATAAACTTGAATTTAATTTAATTTAATTCTGTCCGAATCAAAAGTCACCAAAGATCTGTTCAGAAACACCCAAAAGTAATCCACAAACACTTGTTTTGCAGCAGACTCGCTGCATCCGTTCTTACATTGGCTTTTCTTTTCTGCTTTTTTCTTTGTTTTCCAGCTTCTGGAGACACTTAAGAAACATTTGTAAATAGTTAAGCGGCCCAAAAACTGGCAGGCCAAATAATCTATGTCTCATCTTTCATCTCATCTAATCGCATACTCATTTCAATAAAAATATGTCTACAGTTGGTTTAAACCAGTAAAACTTATCAATATGAAACAAATTAAGGTATTTTAGCTGTTTAAGGCTTCATCAAGTTTTGGATATTAAAGAAAGGTATCTTAACGAAGAAAACACCTGAATAATTCTACTGAACTCCAGTTTTAGTGGGTTCAATAGAAGCGACACACCAATAATCTTGTTTAGAGATTTGAATGAATCTTCTTCCTAGTTTTTCCCCCATCCATCTCCCTTTCCTGCTCCTCATCAGCTCTGCCTCTTGCTCACTCACTCAGCTCTCTCTCCCGTCAGCGCTCCGTTTCTCTACCCATTTGGCTGCTGATCTGTTTTCAGAGTGAGGTCACAGTGAGATTGGGCAGCAGGGCCTGCGTCTGTTTCTGTGTCCTAGCTAGACACGTTCAGATTAAAGCCTTAAATGCATAAACAGCCTTAAAAAGCCTTTTATGGGCTTGTACAGCAGCAAGACTTCTGGTAAGTATCTGTGGAAATTTCACCCCCTGGATGCTTTACCTTTTTGTTTTCCTCTCCAGGTGCTGTGAACTTTTAACCTTATGCCTACAAAATGTCAAAACCTCTCAATAGCACCGCATCTCCTTTATTGTTTGCCTTTAAACCGACGCTTAAATCTTCTGTTCTTTGCAGCGAGGAGGTGGCCCGGCATGGCTTCACAGTCATTGTGGACATGCGTGGTTCCAAGTGGGACAGCATCAAACCGTTGCTGAAGATCCTGCAGGAATCTTTCCCTTCTTGTATCCATGTTGCTCTCATCATCAAACCAGACAACTTCTGGCAGAAGCAGAGGACCAACTTTGGCAGCTCCAAGTTTGAATTTGAGGTGGGTGATCTACTCCAGAAAATGTCCTTTTTATAACTTTGTAACCTTGTTGTGCATGAGCCGTCATTATTTTCTTTCCTCTGTGCACGTCTGTGTATTTATTGCTTTTCACAGCTGTTAAGTGTTTTTCATGTAAACAGTTTTATGTTTTCAGCTGTTTAGCCAGTTGAACGTAGTTATCAGTCTCACTTTATCAGCTCTAATTGGTTTGTTGCTCTGTGACAGAGGTGCTGTTCTGTCCCATGTGGGCTTATGGAGTTGGTATATTTAGTTCTGACCCGGTTACTATGGAAACAGGATATATATAGGGCATTGCAACAAATTGCATCTCAACTTTTTGTTTTCGTGCTTAGAAGAATCCACTTGTTGTTTTTCCTCCATGCAAGTAACACATAGGATACCGCTGGTCTAATTCAGATCGATAACGGTGCTGTCACTGCACTCTGAGCTGCTAAAAGTAAAGGTTTATAACTTCATGAAGAAAATTAATTACAAGTACTGAACCATCTACACAAAAAGGTATTTTTCATGCAGCAATGGAGTGACTTCAGGGTTTATTTGAAGGCGTCATATTTGCACGGCTCTTGGTCTTTACATTCAAAACACAATCTGATCCCAGCTCCAGTTCCCGTCTGCTCGTGTATATGATGTTTTTATTATGTCTGCCTCACTTTGTTCATGCTCAGCTCTTCTCTGTTTAACTTCTTAACAGTTTATAGTTCTGTATTTTGGTTTGAGTTTTTATCCCCACACTGAATATTTAGCATAGGAGTTTCTTATTCTGAACATTCTTCAAAGATCTTTGGTTCATTTGTTGAAAAGCTGTGCATTTGTCTTGTTTTTTGTCTATTTTCAAATTTCTTCTAATTTCTTCTTATGTTAGATTCACTTCTTGTGTTACATTATTTTCTCTGTTCTGCTTTAACCTGTCCCACATCTGTCTGCCTGTCCCAGACGGTGATGGTGTC